TTGTGGGGACATCTCATTGATATAATCAGGGGTGCACATAAGTGGTTCGCAGGTCATTCGCTGTCAAAATAAAAGACCCAACACGAAGAAGTTGCAACGTGCGTTTGCGTACGTAAGATTTTCTGGAGGAGGACAGACATTTGTTTAGAACGAATGCTGAAGAAGCTCCTTTTAGCAATTACTCTGGTGTTCCTCCACCTCCAAAGAAACGTCAGGAGGAGCCCGAACTGCAAAAGAAGCGCGTATTCTCGGAAAGTGGTTGCAGGAGGTGAGCTGGCTTCAAACAAACGATCATCATGAAGAGCCTCCACGTGATCATTTTAGACTTCTAGTTTAACACATGGAAAATATTTCAAAGCCAACCTGCTAATTTCCAGTTCTGTGGGTTTATTGATGGCTTTGCATGATTCTGTGTTCAGAATAATCCTACTTTAGCTCATACTGGGCTTCACTTCATATGAAACGAGATGTGTCAGCTCCTCCCCCTTAAAGTCAGCTGTTATTCTGATTGGCTGCTCCTCGTAAGCAGCATATTTGGACAGCAGGTGGGTGACACAGTCTGCAGCCTGAGCTTTAACTGATGAGCTCATTATCAGAAACGTTGGTTTAATCTGAACCTCTAACCGTGGAACAGGACCTGTAAGACCCGGGAACAGCTTTGACCTCCTAAGACCTGAACTCTTCTTCTCTTTAAGGTGTTTCTGACAAACGATCAGCAGAGTTAATAAAAGTTTCAGGTTTTTTAACCTTTTAGAAAAAGTCGGAAGTTGAATTTGGCTCACAGGTAATGATGACATGAGAGGCTGAAAAATCCTTCCCCAGGCCAGAGTTGGATTTGTTGACTGTTACCTTGTAGGGTCGCTCACAGGACGGCGTGATGCCGGCGTCCTCCAGCAGGCTGCAGACACAAATAAAACATCGTTCGTTTCAGAGCTCACCTGAGCAGCTGTGTGGCGTAACTGGCGTTTCCACGGAGCACAGATGGGAACGTGAGGATCGGTGTCTGAGTTTGAAGAAGAGCTGAACTCACCTGTGGATGTCGAACTGTGCTCGCAGTTTGACGCAGACCTGGAAGTATCTGAGCGGAGAGTTCATTCCTTCCACGCACGCCGCGCACGCTCCGTGTTTCCTCCACTCTTCCCTCCTGACGCACAGAAACACACTTTAGGAAGAGAATCACAACCCGAGTGAGTTTACAGGGTCACGTCCTGCTTCTCCTCATTTCCTAAACCCTTCCTGTACCTTCACTTCCTCAAGATGTCATTTGCTTCCTTTCCTTCTTTATCCTTCCTTTCTTTCCCTCTCTCTTGTCCCCTTATTTCCTCATTTCCTCCTCTAACCTTTGTACACCATAATTTTTCTTCCTTTTCTATAACCCTAATTCCTTCCTTTATTTCTTTGGTTCTCCCCTAATTTCCTTCCTCACACTTACTCTTTACTTCCTTCACTCTCACTCTCTCTTCAGGAACATTTTTCCTGCCTTTAACAAACCTTTCCTTGCCACCCCCTTGTTTCCTTCCTTAACCTCCTAGGACCTGGCGTCTACATATGTGGACATCACATTTTGGGTTGTCTAGATGGGCCTGATGTCCACTTACGGGGACGATATCCTGCCACTGTTCTATTGAAATTTAAAGCGACTGTCCTCATGTGTGGATCTCATTTTTCCCAGAAACAAAATCACGTTTGTTTTTACGTTCTTTCTTCTTCTTCTGTCCCTCGCTGGCGCTCGGCGGGGAGGTTGTCCACAAAGCCAATACGTCGCTGTGGGTGCCGCGGGGCACTTCCAGGCCTCGTGGTCTCTTGCTTTCACCTTTGCTTGCTCGAGGGTTAGACGTCGTTGTTTAAGGTCATCTTCAGTTTGCTTGATGAAGTCTTCTTGGGCGCATCACGCTTGACTCTCCAGAGGGCGGGGTCTGCTGCAGCAAAAGGCGATATGACAGGCGATGGTTGCTCATGCGGCAGAGGTGGCCAAACCATTGCAGACGTCGCTTCCTAATCAGCTCTTCCACTGAGGGCTGCTGGTGACGGTGACTACGTATCACACTGTTGCTGAGACGATCACGGACGCTCGGATAGTCTGACTCAAACGGCGCATTTGGAAGAGGTCGTGTTTGAGGATGACGCAGGTCTCCGACCCAGAGAGAAGAATAGGCGATACCAGTGTACGGTGCAGGCGGGTTTTGGTGGTGAGGGTGACGTTTGTCTTCTTCAAGACGCACCATCGGAGGGAGGCGAAAGCCGCCGCCGTTTGACCAATTCTTGAATCTATTTCCGCTGTTGATGCCACTTTCTTTTCTTGGACCAGAGAGCCGAGGTATTTGAATTCCCGCACTTGTTCGATTTGCACACCTTTGAGATGCACGGTGGCTGGCGACCCGGCAATAGTAAGGACTTTGGTCTTGAGACCATGTGGTTGAGCAAATTGGGTGATGTCGTGTAGCCTCAGCATCATTTTCGGCAAAGATGGCGCTGTCATCTGCTAACAGCAAGTCTGTTGCAGATTGGTCATCAGCATACTGGACTCCACGGCGGCCGCTGCAGGTCCTGCCCATGATTGCATCGATCACAATGTTGAAAACATTTCACAAAGAGAAATTAAAAATGCATGCCATGAAAGAGTTCAGGTCTTAGGAGGTCACGTCTTTTTGTTTGTGACCTCCTCTTTTCCTTGAACTGCCTCCTTTCATTTCCCATCTTATTTCCTCACATGAATGATTGTTTCCTTTCCTTCCTGAAATCTTGAGACTAACAACTGAAAGCTCAAACTGACAGTGGATGTGTTCGCAGAGGTCATAGATTGAGTTAAAAGTAGGCTCGTATTTCTGATAGACTGTCATATAATGAGATGTTAGAGGCGTCGCCCCCTGCTGGACATTGTGTGTCGGTGAAGGTGAGTACCAGAAGTGGAAGTTGGACTTGAATCTCACAAATGACGGCCAGAGTTCAGTCAGCTCCGCCTTCAGCTCCTGAAAAACAAGAACGTCAGTGTTTGATGATCACTGCAACAGGAGCCTCCTGATGCATTTGCATTTGTAGAGGCCGAGTCTATCCGGTCTTTAAGTGATGACATGATGAATCCTGCTTCTGCATGTTTTTCCATTTAAGTTATTTCCACGTATGTTTGGAAAGAAATGAGGGCTTCCTGAAACCTTTGCACAGTGCTGCATAACCAGGACTCACCTGGACGTCAGAGGGGAACATCGGCCAGCAGTCGCAGCGGTTCTTAGCGTGGAGGGGCCTGCAGGCACAAACACAAGCAGCCAATGAAATCAACAGGACAAGCCAGGATCAATAACACTGATCAGTCTGAACACTGGGAGTAATCTCAGTTGCTACAGCAGGGTGGGGTTACCAAAGGCCGTGGATGGTCCAGTTGTTGACGGTTGGAGGAATCCTGCAGAGACTCACGTTGCTCAGAGACTGAGGGACAGACAGCATGTTAGACACCACAGAAGAAGAACTCACCACCTTCCTGCCTTCCTTTTCCCTACCCTCTCCATTCCTACTCGTTTCCTTTTCAGCCTCATTTCTTTTACTTTGCCTCTTCCTGGTTTCCCTTCTTAAAGGACACAAACATGTCCTTGTTTAAAGGATATTTTCAGTGTATTTATGTCTTTGGCTCTTCTTAAATTTGACCGTCACAGATGTTTCAGAAGTTGCAGCTTTTACTGTGAAGGGGAACACCACCATTTCCTGACGCACAGCCCAATGCTCACCTGACAAAACGTGCCCGGCCATTGCAGCGTGAACAGGAGGCACTTCCAGGTGCAGAAATTGTGGTTGTACAGGTCACCGTGGCCATATTTGTAGTCCTCCCAGAGTCCTTCCTGTGTCACGATGATGCCGGGCAACAGGAACAGAATAGCAGGACTCAGGCTGACCAGCAGGGGCAGCAGTGAGCGGTGCATCTCCTCCAGACTGCAACACAAAACAGTTAATTACACGTAGAGCTGAAGTAGAAATGTATTTTCCAATTACTCTCTTGAGACCAACTGCGCCCTACACCGCTGCTTCCTCTGGAATCAGCTGGTGCTGATCATCATCCGTGTGAGCGGCAAAAGCAGACTGTTGCTCCATCAGTCTGGGAACCGTTTCTGCAGCGAGAGATTATTCACAAGCAGGAAACTCACCTCGAAGTCAAAGCATCAAAACCACAAGCTCCTTCTCAGACTGTGAGTTAGCAGGTGAAAGGTTAAAGTTCACAGCAGTGTGATTAGTGAGGTTGTTTGGGAGGTTTGCAGCACGACTCAAGTTTGCAAAGCTGCTGAAGAAAACACAAGACTTCAGACCAGACCGGAGGCGATCGCTCTCCCTCCTGCAGCACTTCACCAAACATCACGGCGCTGTCTCCTTACCTGTGTGTGGTGATGGAGGCTCTGAGGTGGAGCTGGGCGGCTGCAGCTGCTGCACTGAGCAGCTCTGACAGTTTCACTCAGATATTTCACAAAAAGCAAGAAGTGAAACTCAGCTCAGTGTTTCTGAGTTTAAACAAGCTCTGAGTGCTCAGGGGAAGCACAGGCTGTGCTTCACTTCCCTCCACCTGACAGAGGTGGAGCAGTTTAAAGCCTGGGTGGCTGTACGGCCTCCGAGGACTTCTGCTTTCACTCAGCAGGTCTTCATGTTCCCACAGCTGCTGACTCTCACTGTGACCCTCGACTCGTGTTTCTGTTTCGCTGTGGAGGCCAAGTCACCCTCCATCATGCAACACAAATGTTTCTCTTTTAATGTACTCGAGTACATTCATGACCATCGGAATTTAGATTAAGGATCATTTGTATTCTCATGCACTCATATTATATTTAGCTGTGCATTAAAATAGGTGCTAGCAACGTGGTGCTACTTCTTACTTCCTTACTCTGAGTACATTTCACACTCTGTACTTTTTCACCTCTACTTGAGTAAAGAAGTTGAATGAGTACTTATATACTGGAGTATTTTTAACACAAGTATCTGTACTTAAGTAGAAGTACAGATCCCTCTGCCATGAGATCCCATGAGTGATGGAGCAGGACTCGGCACGGCGGCCTGAGAGGAAGGCTCCCTACTCATCAGACTCTTAGTGCCTTTTAGCCCAGAGTCGTTCCCTCTGTTTGTCCTGGTAATTCAATTTAGTTTTATTTACACAGCGCCAAATTACAACAGTCACCTCAAAGTGTTTTATATTGTAAGACAGACCCTACAATAATACATACAGAGAAAACCCAACAATCATATGACCCCCTATGAGCAGCACTTTGGCGACAGTGGGAAGGAAAAACTCCCTTTTAACAGGAAGAAACCTCC